TGTTTGCTTCAATGGACGCTTCGCCGTCGAGCTCTCCGGCACAGCCACCGCGACACTCGGTTTTGTTGTTGTCGTCATCGATCCAGAGCTCTCTGGTATTGTCTTTGTGACAAGAGTGTTGTTGTGAGCAATCTTGGTCTTGGCCTGATCTGGATCTGAATTAGACTTTGAATCTGCTGCACCAGAAGAGTCGGATTCTTCACCGGAAGAAGCAGATTCTTCTTCTTCTTCTCCACTCGAGGAGGGCAGAGGAGGGTTCTCGATCATATCGGTCTGTTTCGGAGCCATCTCGGACAAAAGTAGGAGAGAGAAGGAACACAGATCTGATGTTTGCTTCTTCTTTGAGTTCGTAGATTTGCTTTTTACTTTTAGGTTTTGTAATTTTTTTTGTAAAGAAATGAAGCAAAAGGGTTTAATTGGTCTAAAGACTACTGTAAATAAATAAATGATACTACAACTTAATTTGATTTAATTTATCAAGAAAACATATATTTAATTTTGAAAAATTTAGTTGGTTTACATACAAAATTTATAAATTTAAAATGTTGGGAAAATAAAATTTCTCCCAAATCTGATATATCTTTTTTTTAATGTGTGTAATTTTTTCCGACTAAATCCAAATTAAAATTTTAAATTGTTATGCTGTTACTTGAATTTTATTTTGTCGCCGGTGATCCATGAAAGAAATCGGTAAACATTTGTTTGTTTTTAAATACAACAATTGCAAATAGAAATGAAAATTTTATCAGAGCGGAAAATTGCGGAAACGACGGCGATTCGTAGTAGATTGGTTTTAGAATCTTATACTCTTTTAGAAAACCTTCCACTTTTTAAAATATGGTTAATCTCTACCATTTAAGGTGATAGGTATCACCAATTATGAAGCCCATTAATATTTTGCAGCAAAGCCCATTAGAATTGTAAGATCCAAAAATCCGACCCGTTCATAAAACCCTAATTCGCACACTTTGAATATCTTCTCTCTCTCTCACACACAACGTCGCCGTCTTTCTCTTCACCGTCTCTCTGATTGATTCGAAGTAACCATGGTTCGTTCTTCTTCGCCGGAATATCCTTTTCTCTTATAGCTTTCCGTTTCTTCGGATACGGAGATTTTTGAAGCCTTTTGATCTCTGACAAATTTTCTGTGATTTTCTTCTTTTTGCTTGACGAAAAACAGGCTCAGAATGATTACATGGATTTACACAGGAAGAGGCATGGACAGCGCCTCGATCACCAGGAGCGTATGCGCAAGAAGAAGGCGCGTGAAGCTCACAATCACTCCAAAAGAGCTCAGAAGGTTCTGAT